TGATTACTCGTTACTAAAAAAGGTAGTGGCATGAGTAACGCCGTTACTTTCAACGCTGTTACTCCCATCACTGGTAATAGCCTCTGCAACCAGTCAAAGCTATCTCTGTGCATGACCACGCCCCCCTGTCTACACGTCGGACGTTCGCAAACTCGCGCAGACCTCAAGCGGAAGTGCGCAGACAAAAAGCAGCTGTGATTGGTCCTTGGTACACCTTACCGGCTGTCTGTGTCGTCGTCCTTCTCAATTCGCTGCCCTTAAAGCGGCTGGTCTGTCCCTCTGATGACCAAACCTCCCTAAACCTCTGCCCCTTGTTAACTTTTACTGTTGGCTCGTCTCTGCGGACTCCAGCTGGTATTTCACGAACGGTTTTCTAGCTTTAAGAATAGACGCCATTTATTTCCATCCATTTATCTTACTGGTAACCGAGACTCATCTGAAAATGTTCCTTTTCTTCATGGAGAATAAAGGATTTTGGTGGGATTATAAATCGATAAGCGGCCCACAGAAAGGTTGACTTCTCTGCTTCTATGGTTTCTGAGGACGTCACAGATTTTTTTTCTGTTGGATCTGGTCTGTGACCCAGAACCAGATCCTCCATTGATTCTGCCCGCCTCGTGTCAAACCATGGTTTTGAACTTCCTCCACAGAACCTCTGCGGTCCATGTTGGACGACTTCGACGTCCTTCCTTTCTCCAGCCTGCAGGCTCACTCCATCCGCCGGCGAGACGTCCAAACCGAGGCCCACGTGGAGAAGCGGCTGAGCTTCAATGCGCTGCAGAGGTCAGACTAACCTCCTCCTCCTTCTGTGCGTCCGTCGTTTTCCAAACGTTACCTCCTGACCTTCTCCCCTGCTGCTTGTTGCTGAGCGCAGGGACTTCACGCTCTACCTGAGAACCAACAACGAGATCTTTACAGAGGATTTCACCGCCGTCGTCGAGGAGGCGGACGGCCGGAGGCGAAGCTACCCGGTCAACCGACACAACTACTTTACTGGACACGTCATCGGTGAGGATGAGGTTGGATGATGGGCTGTTTAAGATTTCAGCCACATTAGAGCTAATCCTTCTAGCAAACGATAAAAAAACAAAACATAGAGAATCTAAAAAATGTACTTCTATGTCAAAATGTTGGATGTTTGAGTTAAAAATGAGCCAAAAAGAATCAGATCTTCTTGACTAAAGGCATCAGACAGGAGAGCAGCTTCCCCAGCAGCACAGCAAAGGAAGGTTAGTGCAGCAGCAGCAGCAGCAGCAGCAGCATTATGAGGCGAAGCTCATGTGACTGAGAGTCTGAGCTGTGAGTCAGAACAGGGAAAACATCCAAACACAACTAAATGTTACTGAAACACAGGAAGTCTACGGCGGGCATTTAGTTCCATTATTATGGCAAGAAAAGAAAAGAAAATCCCGAAATTAAACCTTGAAAAACGTATTAAAAAAAAAAAGGTTTAGAGAGACTTTGCAGTTTTCTACGGAAGAGGATTAGGGCCACTGAAAAAAAAAAAAGTTAACTGATTTTAAAATTTTATTTCAGTTTAATATTTCTCAGAATTCTGACCGCTAACAAACATGTTAGCATCAAGCCGTAGCCATATCTGTTTTAGAGACTAGCTCTCTTGTTTTGATGACCTTCCCCTAATGAGGGGACCCCCCGGGCACGTAAAAAGTCGCCTAATTCCGTCATTTTCCACCAATGTGTCACTGGCCACCTCAAACAACTCACATCTTTGTCAGTGAAGCTGAGTGCTCCACATCTCTTCCTTCATGGTGCCCATCTACATTAAGATCCACAATTCTGAGGTTAAAGTCAGAATTCTGAGAAAAAAATCAGAATTCGGAGATTAAAGTCAGAAAAAAGTCAGAATTCTGAGAAAAATATCAGAATTCTGAGAAAAAAAAGGCAGAATTCAGAGAAAAAAGTCAAAATTCTTTGATTAAAGTCAGAATTCTGAGATTAAAGTCAGAATTCGGAGAAAAAAGTCAGAATTCTGAGAAAAAAAGTCAGAATTCTGAGAAAAAAAGTCAGAATTCTGAGAAAAAAAGTCAGAATTCTGAGAAAAAAAGTCAGAATTCTGAGA